ACAAATTAGTACTGAGTATACAGTGCTTATTAATATACGTTGGGTAAAGGCAAACCCGTTATATATGATTAACATCTCCCCAACGCGAAAAAAAAAAAAAAAAAAATCTTTGAAAAAAAANATTTGCACTAGTAAGCAGGAGGTCATGGGTTCGAGTCCCACCCGAGTAAGCTGGTGAGGTTTTTTCGCAAGCTCTCGGACAAGCACTGAGTATACAATGCTTATTAATATACGTTGGGTAAGGGCAAACCCGTTATATATAATTAACATCTCCCCAACGCAAAAAAAATACATCTCGAAAAATTATTCATGTTGCGTTGGGCATTAGAATCAAACTGCTTTTCACGCGGATCAGCGCAGCGCAGCGAAGGAGCGTGAAAAGCAGTTTGACATTAATGTACATTAATTCATTTAAACATATAAAACTTTGTATTTTTCAGTCATTTACTACGCATAGGCCTACATGTATGTTGACCTAGTGGGTGATCTGTCCACAAATGGAGGCTATATGACATGTATCAAATATTCAAATGTTTGGTTGAGTTCGAGGTAAATGTAGAACATACAAGTACAAATAAAAAAACCTACAAAAATGCACGATAATAATAAAACTTGCATTACCCAAATATTGCCATCCACCCAAAAAATCCCTAATTAATCGTATTATTGCCACCTAATCCACATCCTATGACACCATTCCTAACTTATCCGTCTATTCATCCCTATCCAACGCCATCTAATCTCCAACCTGTCCCCAACTTCCTACCAAGCCCACCAAAATCTGCAACCTACACCTCCCTCATTCCTATTCCATTCCACCAAAACTCCAACAGTCCTGCAAAATTACACCCAGCCAAGCCACACCCCCTTCCTTCAGTCTCTATCCAAACTCACCTCATCAAATCCATTCCTAAAGGTTGGGTTTGGCACAGTTGGGAATGGATTGTTTGATACTAGACAGAAGATCCACATACGCCATACAGTACATGCCGTGTGTGTTCATGTCCATGCTTCGAGATTTTGGGGTTCAAATTCTGCATTAAATATGCAAACGACACTCAAGCCAATAAATCTATAGTACACATTAGGTTTGGGTATTGGTAAAAAGACAACCAACCAACAAACATTTTAATATTAAATACGGCCAGATGGACAGCCTACCTGCAGCATACGGACTAACGACAGATCAATTATTAATAGGGCTCGCAGCGTTTCGCAGGTAGTCACGATGTTAGTAATTAGTAACTACTTGTTACCAAGTGAAGTCAGCGCATTTTTTAGTCATCGAAAGAGGTCAGTTAATTCGCGATCTCTCCGTTTTAAGCTGGATGTCAAGGGTTAAGTTACGCGCAATCCTTGATTTTAACGGAAACATTTTTGTGGTATACCTTAATGGCTCTTTTCAAATCATTCTCCTTTTTTAGTACTATTGATTACATTTTGGTTGTTAAGAAGTCCAAAAATTGTTCACAATTCGCCATTATTTTATTATTTATCACACAAAAGTGGGAAGGGGTGCTTTCATAGCCCGTCCCTCGGTCAAAAGGGGGGGGTATACCTCCCAACCCCGGGATTTATGCTCATGGATAGAGTAAGGTATTTGGGGATCGAAGTTGATAAAATCCTGACCATTGAATCTCATTTAGGAATGTCTGTAAGTTGCTTAAAAGGTCTATTCCAATGGTCGACTCTACAGACATGTCAGAAACGAGCGTCTTCTTATTATTATATAACAACCATTCAGCCAAATCCCAACTGTACCAGTTTTGTATGGGATAATTGCTCAATGACAAATAAAGGGACTCTTCTTAGACTGCGAAAAGGTGCAGCCAGGATCGTTGCTAATAACTTGGATTCAATAGACTGTTATGTTGATATCATCATAGCACTCTCATGGCAGACTTATGAACAAAAAATGACAATATTATTAGCTCTTTTGGCTAGAGCACTTGAGGTTCATGTCATAAAATGTGGTGTAAATAAACCGCCAAATGCCCCGCTGAGAAATGGTGTCTGAGACTCCGCGTCTATGCCAATAACAGTTATGACAAAATAAACTCTCATTTTCACTCCAATTGTCCCTTAGTAAAAAAAGCTTTCTCAAACACAACGACCTATTCCGGAGAGGATGGTTCATCTGCAAAAGTTTAGTAAATGTTTGAGCCCCGCTGTTAGAGCAATTTTTCATATATTTTTTCCTGACCAGCTCTAGTACAGCAAGGATTCTTCTTTCAATATGTCTAAGTATCACTATATATGATGACTGGCTAAGATCTGCGTCCAGAGTCTTGTTATGTGGCCGTTTGTACGCGCTGATATGTAGGACTAAAAAAACTTAAGCGTGAAAATTGGTTCAACATTCAGCCATTCTGTTTGAAAAAAACAGCGAGCTTTTTACAAAATGTGTTGCTTGCATTCGTCCATACTGAAGCTTCTCTGACACAGCACGACTGTGTATGGGTAAACGTATAGGCCTACAGCCAGTTAACGTCGGGTTTACTCACCCAAAAAAACTGCCAGGGACGGTTTTCCCCCCTGCAAATTCTTTGAAATTGCACTTATTTATGACGCAACCAAACACGAAGCATTAATACGTCAACCACACCGCGGAAATTTAAAAAAGAAGCTTTAAACAAGTGTATACATCCTCCGTGGAACAAATAGGGAAAATCGTGTATGGTTACATATCATCCGGCGTCAAGTGGTTAATACGCCGTTTTGACATAAGGTTCTAGCTGCAAGAGTGTAATATATGTTACTGTATCATGAACATCGCCCGGCTAGTGTCATATGTTGTCGTTATCCCTCCCCGGATTTTAAAATTTCCATGGCTGGGCAAGTCATCCGCCTACAATTCTCCATGCCCCTGTTCTTAACAAACATTGTACACCAATGATTATCAATCTGTTCAAGCTGAGTGTCCCCACATGTAAGTGTGATATTTAATGTCATCACTGTTAGCACGACTAGAGTTCAAAAACACAATTTTAGTTTTATCAGGGTTAAAGACAATCAAATTCATAACAATCACTAATGCTATCACTATTAAATTACAAAATCTGATTAACCTTATTGAGATTACTTCAAGATGTGTAAGTTATAACAAATCATCAAATTTATTACACGTGCGCACTTGGAATTAGCATTTTGTGCGATGTCGTTATATTAAGTAAACGGGATGGGTCCAAAAATACTTCCCTATGAATCCTATGTGGTCTACAAATAGAAATATCATCAGGTCCAAAGGTTTGCAATAGCACCATGCAAGGATATCTCTCGGTGCGGTCCTGAAAAGAACCGGAGGGTACTCAACGTTTCGGACAGTATGCTCTGTCTCAGGAGAATGCAGAGGTTCCAAAGATGAAGCTGCTTATCTTGTGTCTAGAGCCAATAACGTGTGGAGAGGATGCTAACTCAGGATCCAATCAAGGGCATTCAGGCGGAACATGGGTTGCTATAGCAGGTCAATGAAATATGGAAGGGCTGCGTAGCACCTTGATCAGAATATCGAAAAGAATATAATATCAAATCAGTGAAATATGTGATTGCTGAGCTTTCGGTAACTGAGTACCTTCTTCAGGGCAAGCAGATTCAATTCTGAATGAACAAGGAAAAATCCACGTTCATTCCCTCTGGATGTAGCGTTCCAAGTTCGGAAATGACGCGCTGCTCCAGTTCCTTACGCTGTACATCAGATGACGCTGACACATCTTGCGGAAAGCGGGAATGAACGTGGATTTTTTCGTGTTCATTCAGAACTGAATCTGCTTGCCTGAAGAAGGTAATCAGTTACCGAAAGCTCGGAGATCAATTACGTGTGTCAGTGTGAAGGAGGGGAGCACGAGGAAAGGTTAACAAGAGTATAGTTCGAGACTCATAGGCTTGGAACATGTCGTGTGGTAGTGTGTCGTGTTTGAGGATTTTGATAGCTTCTCTGATGCAGCGAGGGTACAAATGTTTAATGTTTGTGATGAGTTTGGGTAAGCTCCAGTCGATCTGCAGACTTGTCAAGTCTGCCATCATCAAGCACTCCCACACCAAAAACTACCAGATCGACTGGAGCCTCCTCATTAATCCGTTAGCAACCCATGTTCCGTTTGAGTGCCCTTGGTTGGATCCTGAGTTAGCATCCTCTCCGTATCTCACCGCCTCCACACACAGTGTCATCGTTGGAACCTCTGACGGACAGAGCATACTGTCTGAAATGTTGCATACCCTCCGGTTCTTTTCAGAACCACACATTCTCAGAATGAAATATCCTTGCACGGTGGTGCATCAAAGCTATATAACTTACTTGCTACCTCCACCACGAAAAGATAAATATCATCAGGACTTGAAGTTTTACCAATGCACCTAACCGCGTGTTTACTGTTCAAAAAGTACTTCTTAGACCACTTCAATTCATGACCAGAAACACTATGCTGTCTTGATATGAGTAAAAATCCCTGATAAATAGTACTTAAACACTTAGATATGTCAAGAAAACAACAACTATATACGATTTCGTGTTCATTAAAAGCTTAGTAAAAATCTTCAATAACACGGTGCAGACGTGACGGAGTGCAGTGGTTTTCAAAGAAAACAAATCGAACAATTGTAAAAATGTCACGGATGTCGAAATAACATGCCCAAGAAAGCATCAACAGG